GGTGTGTTTATGTAATAACATAGTTTGTTATTGCATCCAAATGCAGTTTATGTGTACTTACAACCCTAAAGTGCATTTGCAATCTTAATTCTGGCTTCACTTAGAAGGTATATAAAGCTTTTAAAAATAAGGACCATAAGAAAGCAATCAGAAAAGAACAATGTGTGAGCATATCCTCAGAAACTGACAACAAAACTGGACATGAGGCTTACAGACCAAGGACATGTGAAGTTGAGGACTTGATAAAAAATTAAATTGCAAAGGGGGTGAACACACAAAGCATCTGCTACGTTCACCAATCCCATCTCCACTCATTATCTCCCACAGACATTTTTCTGACAAGAAGAGGTCCTCTTTGGAAGAGTCCTCTTTGATATAATCTATTTTTTAAGAAAATTATTATTATAAATAAACAACTATGTAGAAAACATATTTTATATATTTTTAAATTATAGTACTTCTTCCAAAATTGCTTTGCATGTGATTAAAGCAAATTCATATTTAGAGATGTGGGTTTTACACTCACATATACCTCTCTCAATTCAGAGCAGTGAGGGAAATAAATGTTCATATGCTGAAGTATTTTCATTGAAAGCAGCAGCTCCTGGATTTTTCTTTAATTAGAGTTCAGAAAGGGCTTTCTTGTGGTATTTCTCTATTTTTTTAAAAAATGCTTTCTTCCCAGCAAGCCACTTCCCTATGAATTAATTTCCCTTTTATACACTACTGTGTAAAACAACAAAAAGGGAAGAACAAGAGATCTATTTCATAAGATCCGGGAAATCAAAGGAAAATTCAAACCAAGGACTCAGATGATATATGACAATAAAAATAACATAATTCAAGACTAGGAAGGAATAAAAAGACATTGAATTCAATACACAGAAGAACTATACAAAAGAGATGACAAAATGAAGAACACATGGAATGAAGAGCCATATGAAAATGAACCCCAAATTCTAAAAAGTGGAATTTTTTCTCAATAAGAGAAATAAGAGGTGGAAACTTTCTCAATAAGAGAAATAGCGAAAAACAAATCACCAGGAACAGCTGATATTTCAATTGAACTGCTGCAATCCACATTGACAGAGTCCACTCTAGTGCTAACCAATATATGTCAACAGATATGGAAAACAAAACAATGGCCAACATATTGGAAGTGATCAATATACATCCCCATCCACAAAAAGGGAGACACAAGAGACTGCAACAATTATATGACCATAGTCTGATCTCCCACACAAGCAAAATCATGCTCAAAATTCTGCAACATAGACTCCAACCATACATGGAAAGAGAGATCCCATAGGTCCAAGTGGGGTTCAGGAGAAGAAGAGGCACTAGGGATCACATTGCAAACATATGATGGCTAATTGAGTGCACCAGGGAATTCCAAAAGAAAATCAGCATTTGCTTTATAGACTATAGCAAAGCCTTTGATTTCATAGAGCATGAAAGGCTATGGAATGCCCATTAATGCAGGCTTTATGCTAGACATAAAGAAAACAAAAATAATGACCACCAAGGACATTCATGGGTTCAACTTAGACAATGAAGAAATAGAAATAGTAAAAGAATTCTCATACCTGGGATCAAACATTGATAGAAATGGAGACTGTAGTCAGGAAATCAGAAGAAGACTAAGAATGGGGAGGGTGGCTATGAAAGAACTAGAAAAGATTCTAAAATGCAAAGATATACAACTCAGCACAAAAGTTAGAATCATACAAGTCATTGTATTCCCTATTACCATGTATAGATTTGAGAGCTGGACAGTTAAGAAAGATGACAGGAAGAAAATCAATGCATTTGAGATGTGGTGCTGAAGAAGAGTGCTGAGGATCCCATGGAGAGCCCAAAGGACAAACAAGTGAATCCTAGAGCAGATCAAACTGGAAACCTCCCTGGAAGCCAAGAGGACCAAACTGAAGCTGTCATACTTTGAACACATCATGAGAAGGAAGGACTCACTGGAAAAAACAATAATACTGGGAAAGGTGGAGGGAAGTAGGAAGAGAGGAAGGCCACATGCCAGATGGATTGACTCTATTAAGGAGGTCACTTTGGGTATTAAGGGGTCGCAGGAATTAAACAGAGCAGTGGAGGACAGAGAGTCTTGGAGATGTCTCATCCATAGGGCCACCATGAGTGAAGTTCAACTCAAGGGCAGTTAACAACAAACAAAACAGTACTGGATATTCATTTAGAAATATTTCAAAAATTTTAGAAGCAATTTCCATGGCTGATCACTTGACTACATAATATCTACTACGAAGGGCTTCATTACCTCTTGAAAAGTAAAGTCTTTCAGAAGTGGTACAAAGCATCCATAATTTTGCTAACACAACTCCATCATGCATTCTTAAATTAAATATAAAGGTGATAATCTACATCAGCCACATTTAGGTTAGTTAGGTTAGGCTTTATCTTCTTATTTAGGTTGGCTAAAAACACAGTTTCCCACCAAAATAAACAAATAAACAATGTGATGATTTGTGGCATTAACCCCTAATTATCATCCCAATGGAACATGGCACAGGTCATAAGCAGAAGCCTAGTAAATAAGCAATGTTACCATATTATTTCCTGAATGACAGTTAATTTAAGAGAGTAATAAGTAATGAGTAAGCATCTCAAGCTTTCTCTTGTTATATATCAGCTTACTTTGCTTAGTATATCAAGAAATTCTTACAGTCTTTGGTTGGAGAAGTATCTGAAATAAAAATGGAATCTTCAGTTGCTGAAGTAGAAATGAGATGCTCAATTTAAATATATAATTTAGATTGACCTTTTCTTTGAGTAGATATTTGTTTAGGACCACTCAGTCTTAACTTTCCAAATTGCTCTGAACACACACAATATGAGTGAATTCATACATTAAAAAAAAAGAAGTCTGATACTTCAAAATGCAAACAGGAGGCTGCATATTTAGTCTTGTTCTAGTTTTCCATATGGCAGAGTATTTTCACAGGATATGTTACATTTCAGAGGAAGGAACTCACAAAATCACCTCTGAGCATTACTTCCCTAAGAAAACCCTATGAAATGTATGGGGTTGCCATAAGTCAGCAGGTGATTTGAAAGCGCATACACACACGTATGCATTCAGAAGTGCTGTGCTGTGGAACCTATCTTACAGTCAACACAGCTACTCCTCTATTTGTATGTACTAGAACAATATTCCTGAATTATGACATGAGTTCTAGGTCATTTTCATACCCATCCCTCCTGGTGGGATGAGGTGTGGCAAAGAACTAACTTGCAGCAGATTCAATATTCAAATAATGAGTTTGCGCGTTCAAGTCGCCTGTTGATTTATAGTGACCCCATGAATTTCAGAGTTTTCTTAGGCAAGGAATACTCAGAGGTGGTTTTGCCAGTTCCTTCCTCTGAAATATGACCTACAGCACCTGGTATTGGTTGGCAGTCTCCCATCCACGTACTAATTAGAGCTGACCCTGCTTAGCTTCCAAGAACAGAAGGATCCTTTAGGGTACTTAGGTCTTCACTGTATCTATAATACTCTCTGCTTTTACCTACTTCTACTTTAATGACTGGATGCCATTGCTTAAAAGCACAATCTCAAGCTGTTTTACAAAAGCATCTGTAATGCTCTTACTGGTGGCCTGTTCATTACTATTGAAATGCTAATGTATTCCATACTTGTAGGGCATCTCTCAGAGAGTGCCTAAAGAAAGCAATTAGTGGAAGTGTAAACAGAAATAAATTAAACAAGTCAGAAGAAGAAACAGAATATTTAAGTGAATGATGTCACTGTGAAGTATATAGTCCACTTTTTGAAATACACTTTTTGAAAGTGTATCACCTACAACTTTCTCTGGCAAGTCACCATCCAGCTATCTCTTTACTTGGGGCATGAAATCAGAAATAGGCAAAACAACACCTGCTGCCTTTGTAACCATTTTCTAACCTTCTTTCTAAACACATTTCTGACTACTTAAACTCACTTCCACCAGCATTGCTTTACCTTGGCTGTAATCCAACGGACACACAAAAATGGGTTTTCTTTCAGGAAAAAAGCACTTTTATTTTGTGATCTTACACATGAACTATCAGTCTAAAGTCCTATAAATCAGTGCACCTCAAGCTCTCTGATGTACAGGACCAGCAATTTTCTCTCCCAGTGTACCAGGTTATTCTTATTGGTTACAATATTTTCATTTTCTTTCTTTTCTGGAAATTTATCAGGGACTGACAATTGATAGCTCATGGACCAACCACTTTAGGTAGCATTGCTATAATTTATTACTTTCAAAAATAACCATATAATATATCAAACGTACAAAGGAACCAGGTTAACAATTAAGTCATTACCAGAAGATAGGCAGTGTGATATTTGCATGAAGAAAATGTGTTAAACCAATGTGTTAATTGGATAAAGTGAATAACAAGAATAGCAGAAAACTGCTACTCCTTATGGGTAATTTAAAAAAAATGATTAAACCCAAATGATCTCATACTATAGTATTCAGTTAAGAATTTTATTCCTTTCCTATAGCAATTTAATTACAACCTCTGTACATTCTATCATAAAATTTCTTCTTGCCGACTGAATATTTTTTTAAAGAACATATTTTTTATTAGCTCTACTATTGGGGTTTGGTTGCAGGACCCTCACAGATACCAAAATCCATGGATGCTCAAGTCCCATTGAATACAGTGGGGTAGTAATACAATCTCCCTCACATAAAATGGAAAAATCAAGGGATTTTTGGAATGTCTATTTTATTTTATTTTATTACATTTTCAATCCATAGATGGTTGAATCCATGGATAAAGAATCTGTGGATATGGAGGGCCAACTTATTATTATTATTTACTTATTACTACTTATTATTATTGCTTTAAGAAAAAAGAGCACAATTTCAACATGAGGAAAAGTACTCCAGTTTGTGCATCCATCTTAAAAGCAAGCATTATATTCTTCTTCCAAAATTATTCTGAATGAGGGACTTTTTAATGGGTGGGGCACAGGAGGAGCCAGTGTGGTGTAGTGGTTTGAACACTGGACTATGACTGAAGATCAGGGTTCAAATCCCTGCTTGGCCATGGAAACCCACTGTGTGACCTTGGGCAAGTCACACTCTCTCAGTCTCAGAGGAAGGCAAGAACAAACTCCCTCTGGATCAATCTTGCCAAGAAAACCCTGTAATTGGTTTGCCTTAGGATTGCCATAAATTGGAAACGACTTGAAGCACACAACAACTTGAAACACACAACTGTCCTAGGCTTCATATATGAGGGAAACATCACACAGGGAGAGACTCACACCTGCACTGTTGCAAATTTCTTTCTTTCAGAATTTCACCAATGTGAGCTCCGTAAACCTGGGGGGGGGGGGCGATCGATAGTGTCCTTTTGTCATATCAGCCTGACCAAGATTATTACAGCTGCAGCATGGCTAACAGTAGCAATCCAGTCCAACCACATACAGTTTTTTTGTTATTGTTATTACAGTTATTGTTATTACAGTCTGCCCTCCATACCTACAGATTCTTTATCCACAAATTCAACCATCCACAGTTGAAAATATTTTAAAACATACATAAATTCCAAACAAATGAACCTTGATTTTGCCATTTTATATAAGTGACACCATTTTACTATCCCATTTTATATAATGGGACTTGAGCATCAGGGATTTTGTTATCCACAGGGGATCCTGGAACCAAACCCTGGTGGATACCAGAGGTCCACTGTATATTTATTTGTCTCATTTTTTTTCCTTCCAAGGAGCCCACCAGAACACCTCCTCCCCTCCATATTATATTCACAACAATCCTGACAGAAAGATGTGGCTGAGTCGGTGACTAGCCCAAATCATCTACAGCCCTTTCATACTACACAACTGCAACACTATGATTCAACTTTAATTGCCATGTTTCTATCCTATGGAATCTTGAGACTTGTAGTTCAGGGGGGTGCTTAGGATTCTCTAACAGAGAGTTCTAGTGTCTCACTAAACTACAGTATTCCACAGGATGTTGCCATGACAGCTAAAAGGGAATCATAGTGCTGTAACTGTATAGTGTGAAAGTATAGTGTGATGCCCTAATGAGCATCATGGCTGAGCAAGCAAGAGAATCTGAATTTTCTCTCTCAATCCAATACTCCAATTACTACACCACTCAGACCCCAGGGAAGGGGTCTCAAATGAACAATCTGCCCTAGGCATATCGGTGTCTTTAAAAGGTCTTGTTCTGAATCATCACCTTCTTCTGCATATACTCATGTAGGTCTGCTTAGGCAAGGAGAAACTTTGCTATCTATTTTAAGCACAGAAAAGGAAGGTTCATACCAGGAAAGCAGGGAATGGAAACTGAAGAGGACAGAACCTCCATTAATATTGTCACTACTGGTATCATAAGCCAGGTGACCTAGAAACTTTTTCAGGAAGACAAGAAAAGCAGCAATAGAAATAAAACATGCCAAGAGAGTGAATCGTGAAATTTCTTTTAAAAAGGAAACCATCTTACCTGGATTACATTCAGTTCCAGCAAACAAGACAAACTTCCTGTTGATGGGTTGCGCCTCACACTCACTCCAATAGGCAGGAAAAGATAGATCTTTTTAGGGACTACAACAGGGGAACAATCCCCTGAAAGGTCAATTGCTATTACAGTTGAAAAAATTCTCCAAGAAAGAAAAGCTTCCCTTGGTCCAATCCATATTGTAGAAATAATCCAATTTGACACTGCTTTAACTGACTTGGCTCAGTGCTAGGGAATCCTGGGAACTGTAGTTTAATGTGGAACCAGAGCTCTCTGACAGAGAAAGCTAAGTCTCACAAATCTACAGTTCCCAGAATTCCCTAGCATTGAGCCAGGGCTGTTAAAGCAGTTTAAACTACTTACAACTACACTTTAGCCTCACACCAGGGCAGGCAGGATGTTCGTCCTTTCTGGAAATGAAAGTATTTCAGGTAAAACCTATATTTCTTTTTCCGGCAGTGAAGAACATCCTCTGGATGGGATATACCAGAGTCCCCTAAATAAGGGTGGGTAGTGCTGGCGTCCCCAATTCTATGGTTTCACTACTTGTTGTAGCATCTACTTGTCAAAGGCCTCTTTGGGTGGGGCAAGAGTACTGAGTTTATAGTGTTTAATGAATGTTGAGGGTGACTTCCATGTGGCTCTCCTACAGATTTCTACTTGGGGGGCACTGGTGGCCAGAGGCACAGATGTGACTGCACTCCTTGCAGGGTGAGTGACTATTTTTCCTGGTGAAGAAGCTCCCAGGGATTCATAGCAGGCTGTAATGCAGGTCTACCAACTAAGAGTAGAAACTGATATCTCTTTCCCCATGGAACTGGGATGAAAGGAGACAAATAAGGAGTCAGAAGATCAAAAACTACAGTATTTGTCTTCTTGAGATAAATTTGGATGGCTTTCCGAACATCCAATGTATGCCGTATCTTCTCCAATTCCTTGGATGACAGAGAGCTGAAGGAGGGGAGGATCATTTCCTTTGCTCTGCAGAAGGCAGAGTTCACCTGAGCAACAAAGGGGGGATCCAGCCAAAACATCACTGAGTCAAATGCAAAGCTCTGTTCATGTTGACAGGGTGCATAGGTCCAAGACCCTGCATGCTGAGGTGATGGCAGTCAGGAAGAGTACTTTCTATCTAAAGCATATGCTTCAGGGAGCCCTCACATAAGGATTCAAAAGGTGGAACTGTTAATGCCTTTAGAACTGTGTGATCCCAGAAGAGGAAACTGTGGAATGTAAGTGGGGCAAGGAGTGGGAAATCTCCAAACGTGTGGATGAGATGCAATCCTGGCTGCTTGCCTGCCTGCCTGAAGGAATTCCAGTAAGGAGAAAACTGAGAATTTGAAGAAGTCAATGTGTTTGTGTCTTCACCACCTGCAGAAAACTCTAAATGTGTATTTGTAGATTCTGTTAGTTGAAATCTCCCTGAAGGCCAAGATGGTGCTTACTACCTAGTCAGAGTATCCAGAGTCCTTCAGCATGCTCCACTCAATTTCAGAGATGGAGCTGTAACCACGCCAGCTTGAAGTGACAGACCCTGCATCAGTAAATATGTACAGACTGGTAGAAGCATGGAATCTAGGGCCATGTGCATGATCTGAGAGAGCCAAGCCCTCTTTGGTCACACTGGAGTGACTAGGATCACAGAGGCTTTTTCCTATTTTATCTTCATTATCCAGGGGCGTAGGGCCACTGAAGGGAAGTCATGCAGAAGTTCACCAGGCCAGAGAAGAAAGACAGCATCCATGTCTTTGGCTCCCTCTGTTTGGTATCGTAATATGAACCCGTTTACCTTGAATTTGGCTGAGGAGGCAAACAACCTCCTGGTTAGCAGATGAAATGCTTTCAGGTGGACACTCCATTACCACAGTCTATATCTGTCTGGTTGAATCAGTCTGCTTGGGAGTTCAAAATGCCTTGGAGATGCTTTGCCTCTATAGAGAGTGACATTCTGTCCATCTTCTAGGCTTCCCACATGAGGGACTGGGAACTTGTTTCACCTTGGTGATTTAAATGAGCATTTATGGTTACATTGTCTCTTCTGACTAGGACTGCCTTGCCCTCAATTAACTCAGCAAAAGCTGGCAGTCTGACTGTCCTTAGTTCCAGCCAGTTGGAGTTTGGTTTCCTCCTGGCTCCATCTGTCCTGAGCTAGATATGGCATGCACTGGGCTCCTTAACCTCTCAGGCTAACATCTGATCTGCTCTTTGGCTGCTCCTAGATGGGTCTCCTTCTGCTGGTGGCAGGGAAAGTCCACCATTTGAGGTAATGGAGGACTGGTGCAGAAATGCTTCCAGATTGCAATGGCAGACTGGTGTGGGAGCCGGAGTCACTGAAGAAGACTGGCATAGAAGCAAGCCCAAGAAAAACATTCTATGGTTGAGATCATTAGACCCTGTAGGTGTGCCAATACAGACAGGTATGCAAGGGGGGAATGTTTGATGTATTGGTATTCCTGATGGCTTGAATTCTCTCTTGGGGGAGGAAGACCATACCTGACTGAGTGCTGAATATAGCTCCAAAGTGCTGGATCTCTTAAGGAGATCCATCATGAGCAGTCTCTTCCCAAGATTTACCTGAAAATCATATAGGGTTAATGAGTGAAACACCATCTGGGCATCTTTTAGGCCCTGTCAGAAGGAAGCAGAATGAATAAGTAAGTTGTCAAGATATGGATAGATGTGGAGGCAGGACTTTCTCCCGTGTGTCCCCAGGGTCACCATAATTTTGATGAACACCCTGGAAGCTGAGGTCAGGCCAAATGGAAATGTCTTGTATTAGTAATGGAGGCCTGTTAACAAAATGAAGGAACTACCAGAGTGGTGAACTGGGACATGAAGGTATGCTTCAGTCAAATCCAGAGATGACAGAAGGTCGCCAGGCTGAATAGTTTCAAGGATATGCTTGAATTTTTCCATCTAAAAGAGGTGCTTCTTAAACTTATTCACTCCCCTTAGGTTCAATATGGTTCTCCATATGCCATTCTTCTTGGGCATTATGAAGAAGATCAACTAGCTGCCCCTGCACCTTTATGAGGACAGCACCCTCTCTACTGCAACAATTTGCATCAGATCATCAATGGCACCCAGTAAGAGCCTATGTTTTTGTGGGTTGATGGACTTTGGGGAAGCAAAGAAGTCGTGAGGCATGTGGGAGAGCTCAATTTGGTATTCCTGTCTGAATGGTCTTGCACTCATTGATGTGAGGTGGAAACCTATCAAATGTGCACAAAGTCCTGAGGTCTGCCACCTATGGTTGAATGGCATCAGGCCTAAGGGTTCTTTCACTGTCCTTTGTTGTGGAGTGTGTCTGTGGTTGCCTAGTTTTGTGAGGACTGTTGTATAGGTTGAAACCTTTATTCTCGCTAGCGAGACCTGTACCTCCTGAAGTCCCTTGGCTGGGAGGGTTTGAAATGAGGTGAGTAGTGAGATCTAGCTGTCTGCTGTATCTCATTTCTTCCTTCTTTACCCCCAGAACTAGAGCCTTTTTTTTTTTTTTTTGGCCTCTGTCTCAACTAGTACAGGTGCATGTCTAGGCAGTTCCCAAACAGTCTGGTTCCC